GACAATTTTTTTCTGATTTCAAAAATGTGGACATCACAATTTGTTTAATATTATTAAAATCAAGGAGAAAATATCTTCGTTTTTGCCTAGAAAATTTTGTCTTGAGTAGTATACGTACGTAGTTTCTTGCGTTTTTACGAATTAATAGCGCTATTTCTTATTAAAAGATAGTGATGTTTACATTTTTGAAATCAGAAAAAAATTCTGTATCAAGACACAAAAAGTATAAATTACTTCCATAAGAAAAATCAAAGTTGATTGATGTTGGTTGACTGGAGACGAAACGTCAAACTTTAAATTTAAGCTTAGCATCTTGTAGAGGGAAAAAAGTGGCCGTAATAATGTGTCATTTATTTTCAAATATCTTTTTAAATAACTTCAGTAAAAAATAAAAACGATTTTGCAAAAATTTTTTCCCGGATATCTCCGAAAGTAGTCGAAATATTTTCAGTTTCAAAACTGCATTTCGTTAATAAGCATCAAAATACGCAAGTTTGCCAAATTTAAACTACCTACCTATCTCTTACAGTTTTCGAGATCCCATGGTGGCCTTCGAATTTGAATCAGCCTGTATACAGTTGGAAAACTCGGATAAACACAAAACCACGGTGGTATAATAGACCACCGTGCACAAAACACAAAAGGATTATCAACTTATTCATTTTGGAGAAATTGAAACCTTGCCATTTATACGTAAGGTTCGCGTGTAGGCGTCAATTCATGGATCACTAATTATTTCAAAGTGGGTCCTTGAAAGATTAGAGAAATGTTTGTTTCATGGTCACTTGTGCACTCGCTTGTGCATGACACATTTTGCGTTACTTACTGTACCTAGTTTAGTTCATGCCGTAATTAGTTTTTTTGGGAATTGATTTTCAAAACAAAAAACAATAAACTATCAACAACTCGCTCTAGTTATATTAGTTGGCTGGCATTGCAATGTAACAAACCATCAAACTCGAGAGGTGATTGTAAAATTACTTAGCGAAAGAGCATCTTTGCCTTTCAACGTTTATAAACTAAAACTCCGATTTTGATGAAGAAAGTACGTTATTCTACGATCGACGTATTGGTTGTCGGAATATCTATGTCATCATTGCATGCAGGGATATCGCGAAAATCTCATTTTATGAAAAATTCTGTATGAAATATAATACCCACAGGTTTGTTCAGCTTTAAAGTTGGGCTACAACTGTAAATGTTAAGAGGATTATTTTGGAAATTTGATATTTAAGGAAGAATTAAGGCTAAAACATTCCTATACGGTTTCAAGTTGCACATACGTCGCAAAAAAGTTATACAATCTGAGCGCCATGTAAATAACAGCTGTAATTTCAAGGCGGTTGTCATTCATTCATGAAATAGGCATTCTTTCTATGCACAATAAGCACTTTTTCAAATAAAATCGTTTTTTTTTTCGCTTTTGTTGACTAAAGTCGATCCATGATTGAGTAATCGCATTAATGACGTTAATTATCAATATCGCATCTGTTTACAATGTGATAATTGCATGTTTTTAGTTAATTAATTTAAATGCGTTCCTTGAATTTTATATTCTAAAGGGGCACACAGCTAGATTAGATAATAATATGCCCGGTTAGATAGCAAGAAGTGGCCTAGTACAAAGGTAGCAACAAAAGTCTACAATTACAACAGTGGCGCACCCAGAAAAAAAATTCGGTGGGGGTTATTGAAATTAGTAAATCCAAAACGTTAACAAAAATTACATTTTTAATAAACAAAAGATTACACAGTTACATGGCTGCTATGGATTAAACATGCAAATTATAGTGCGCGAATTGATCACTTTGCGCACGCCATTTGCGTGCGGGAATGATTAATTCATAAACGATTGTAGGAAAAGATTATTTTAAAAAAATCTATCAGTGCTTAATTTCGGGGGGGGGGGGGTAACCCCGAAAACCCCTCCTATGAGTGCGCCACTGACTCACAAGTACGTCATAGAAATAACAGATAACCGTGGCGACCGGTTTTATCTCGGGTTTTATGCTACAAAATACATGGTGTCAGATAATAGTAACGTAACTACATGGTCATATCAAATTTCGTTTGTAATAAAACAAGAAGGCCAAGCATTAATTCATTCGAACGTCATTTGTTTACAAGATGGCGACGATGTTTCAATATTTTGACAAACACAATTTTCACTTCCGACACGATATTTTTAAAACCCCTGTATTTATTTTTAATTTCGATACAGATTCTAAATGCTCCGAATAGCGCAATGTTTTTCATATTTCACCAAAATACTTAATGTTTCTCAAATCCCCATATGAGGACCAGAAAAAACAATTGTAGCTATAGATTGCTAGCGTCTTCTCAAATTTAATTACCTAATATTATATACAGGATGTAGCATCTAAGACCTCTCAGATCATAATTCCTTTACTATAAAAGATACCGAAAAAAATCTTGGAGCACAATTATAGTCGCCATGTTTCCAAAATACATGTAGTCACCAGTGGCGTGCTGTATTCCAGTGACATAACAAACTTAGTTTTGTTTTAATGGGGCACCTGCCATTTTATTTCAGATTTGGAAAGTACTTTAAGAGCACTTTTTTATGTAACACATTGTACTTATCATCCTTAACTTTAAAAATGTTCGCTGTTTTTCCTCGGTTTTTCCCTATTGTCTTCGAAATTTTTTTTGGAAGAAACTAACGTGTTTACAAAAATAGGGACGCACGGATGGACAAAGTGGCCACAATAGCGCTTTTTTACTTGTATAGAAATGCGCTAAAAAGTCATTTGACAGCTGAGAGTTTCAAGATGACATCTAAAATCTCCCTCCAATTCTTCCAAAAGCCTTCTTCCGCTGTTCTAGAAATTTTCTTTTCATCTCCCTTTCCTGTGGTTTTCGAAGCATAGGCGCTTCCCGTAAATTTCGCGAAATCTTTCCCGAAGCCTCTTCGTGAAATCTTTGGAATTTTTCAAAATGTTCTTGTTTTTACATTGGCCACCTGTCAGGCACATGTTTATAAAATCTTTGATTCTGGATTGTGGAACGTCTATTATACTGGTAAATATTTTCACTAATGACGCAAATGTGTATATTCTATAGTCAACTGTTAACTTTAGCATTTTTCGTAATTTGTAGATGCTTCTGACTTTGTTATTGTTTTCAAGGGTAGTAGAATTTTGAACATATTTTTTAACTCGTTTTTTAATGTTTAAATTCGAAAAGGTTAAAAAAGATTAATTACCTACAAACTAATATTTTCTTGTTTTTTTTTGGAAAATCGGGGTAAATAATTTTTTTAAATCTTATTTTTGATGTGCTCAACTTTTTAACAATTTTTGAATTCGTAATTTTTCACATCAGTTTGAAGGAACTTAAAGTTTCAATTCTACAGGGTAAAGGAATTGTTTTATTGAATTTCGGAAAACGTCTGAAAATTAAAAAATTTCTGTTATGGAATCAACTTTTTCTGCACAGTACCTAATATAATTCACTAGAAATTGAGGGCACTTTGAAACTGATGATTCTGAATTTCTTTTCGGTATTACGAAATTTTTAGTTATTCGGCAATTATTCTCGACTCCTTCTAAAGGTTCCTTAGAATTCCCTAAATCAAGTAACCTAGAAACTATACATTCTAATCTCTCCATCTCCTTACTTCTCTTCCCAAAACCCGACGAATCTGAAACTTCTGCATGGTCTGCTATTCTCCCAACTTCCAGATTTTCTCACGAATCTGAGCCTAATTTGAATCTCCGAATTCTCCCGATTTTTCTAATATTCCCCCCCCCCCACCCCGCTGTTTAATTCCCATCTTCTCGATCTTCTCAATCCTCCCGATCGTCGAAGCTACCGAAGTATTCTAAATCTTCCCTTGAACTTATATCTTGGATCTCCTGTATGTGGGATCTATAAGACGCTTTATGAATCCATCGAGTCGGCTGAATGGGAACGAAAAAAAATCGAAACCTAAAAAAGTGCTGTTTGCGAGTCTGTATAGTTTGCTCGGCTATTTGAGGTAATGCATTTTTATCGAATTTTTTTTGAATTCCATCGTAATTTTGAAGAATTTTATCGCAAACACCGAAGGAGCAGATTATTACGATTATTAAACGAGAACAGAAACTGTAAGCAATTTTAACATTTTCTTATTTTTTGTCAAACGCCTGAGTGCGGGGTAATTTGTCCAAACAAGCGTTGCAACTTGCAAGCTTCTCTTTCTTTCAGGAATTTTGCTTTCTTTTCATGCATTTCGAAATAAAATTTTGTCACTATCAATCAATTAACTGTGTGTTGTTTTCCGCAATTCAATAAGTTATATTCCCTTCTCTGTAGAATTGAAATTTTGAGTTCCTTTAAAGCAATGTGATTAATTACGAATTAAAAAATTCTTAATAAATGTATCAATTAAATCATCTTTAAGAAAGATTAAGCAATCTGGTCTCGAATCTGGTACTAAGATTGTCCAAAATCTAAGAACAATTTAGTTTGTAAGACAGCTGGAATTAAATATGTAATTTAAAAATTTTAAAAAATAGGTTAGGAATTCTAGGAACCCTTAAAAAGTAAGTCTCTAAAAATTACGAAAAATGCTAAGGTTGAGAGTTGGTTATAAAAAAATGTTCCTGATAAATGGGCCAACTTAAAAACGAAAAATTCTGGGAAATATCTCAAAATAAAAAATCAATTTCTCATTCAAATTCATTAATCTAATTAATCTAAAATAACCTGTTCAAAATTTGGCATTAAAAATGTTATAACGCTGGGCTATATTTAATGTAGTTGTAGATATTGCAATCTTTTTAGTTACCGTTTACCTTTAACTACAATCATATTTATGACGGAGTCGTCAACATTTCGTCCAATATCCAAAACGCCTTCAAAACCGGTAACCATGCTCCAACGGCATTTTCGACCTTCTAAAAATCGTGCCAAGGTTTTGAACATTCGACGAAATGTTTGCCCCTTTCTGACTGTTAAAAATCAGATCATAAATAACAAAACAGAATAATTCTTACCTCGTTCGGTTCGGAAAGTTCGAATAAATCCAGCCGATTTGCATTCCACTGGGCGATAACGTTTCGTAGGGCCTCTCTTTCGAGGACCCTACGATCGCCGACACTTCCGTGCATAACGGCACACCCTGCAAGCAAAAAAACAAATGCGTATTAAAATCAATTGTCGTGCGAGGTTAAAAAAAAGAGAATAAAAACGCAAACAATGCCTTACATTCACCCAAACAAAACCACGCTCGTCTTAATTATCCGTAGCAAATTGCAAATATGTAGTACACGTGGGGAAAGACTTTTGTCATCATTCTCACCGCGAATTTCACTCATTAAAAAAAGCAATTTAACATAATTAATATTGACAAATCGCTATGCGAGGAATGTTGTGGTCAAGTGCACTACGAAAGTGTAATTAAAAACGGTGTTGACATTGTAACAAATAACCATAATAGAGAACAAGTTGAGTAAGCAATAAATAATATGTAAATAAAATGCAAATATAATACGAAAGAATGTGTAAAATTAAACGCGAGAACAGAAAAAAATGTTATGAGAAAATATCATTATATGTATTTCGTTTCGTCATAAGAAGCCACTGACCGAATTTGGATTATCTCACACGATTCACACACATGCTTTATTATTAAAGGTGTGGACTGTAGTTTTAATTGAATTCCATTCCTTAGGTTATTGCAGTAATGATAACTGTTGAAGTTTTGGGTTCACCTTAATTGATGAAAAAGTACAGAGACCATGAGTATTGGACCTCGTATTGGACACAATTAAATACATGAATGTGACCAAGTAAATAGACCAAAATAAAAATTGGGTTGTTAGTCTCATTCTCTTATGTTTTTAATTAAGAATATGAAGAAGAATTGTATGGCATCATTGCGAAAAACAAAGTTGTCTGATTTTTGGCTAGTCGAAACATTTACGCACCGTTGCCAAAATATGCAAGTTTTGTAACAATTAATAAATGGGTAAAATTAATATTCAGTGCAGTGTGGAATTGGTTTTTGATTCCTGTGCATAGACAAGTTCTCGGACCCCATGCTTTGGAAAATCTGATGCAGATTTGCTTGCGTTCGCAATAAATATGGACAATTTTGTACTAAAATTTCTGTTCAACAACAAGCTGACCTTACCACGGCGGTGCAGAAAATTTAGCTGCACTATCACGAAGCGATCTGTTTTCCATATTTCTAATTTGAAGTTACCTTTTCGAAGGAAAGATGATATCAATCGTAACCTGAAGAACACCTCATCTTCATTAAGTTACTTAACATTTTTGATTTGTATAAATTTGGGTGATTATTTTTAGGAATTGGCATAGAAATGTTATTTAACGTAATTGTAGTGAACATTCCAGAAATTTCCATAGACATCGAGACGCCATAAAAGATTAGTCCTCGGCGATAAAGAACGAAGGCAGATGTGACGTAATCTTTCCGAATGTGTTTGTTCGAGAAGCGTTCGATAACTATCGAGAAAGAGAAAGTTCTACTATATAAGCAAATCGAATTATGATTCAGTGGAGTTCCTATATCGATGCGTTCTTGTTATGTTATAAATTGTGAGTGATACATTGTAGTTACTGTTATAAATTAATCCATTTTAAGACTTGTAAATTTATTGTTAATTAATTGAAAGTAAAATAATAAACGACGTATGTAATTAAATACAAGCTGTTTATGCAAGCTGACGCCTTGCAGTCCTATATTTGCATGTTAAAATTAAAACTTTGTTAATAGCTAGCATTATAATATGTAGTTCATCGCCCACTCAATACAATTGAAACAAATTCATCATCTACTTGAAAGTGCATTCACAACTATACACTACCATCGAAAACTCAGAAAGCGGCAAATCAGAGCTTTTCAAGTATCACTCTTTTGGTGTTGTTAAAATGCGACTCTTGAATCAAATTAAGTTTATTACAGTGATGAGTGATTTTTACTTACGTCAAAGTTGAGCGTGCAGAGAAGTTGCAATGAATCATATGTTAAGCTTCCTTGGAAACTCAATTTTAAATAACAGGTAGGTAATCGAAATTAATTTATTATAAATTTATAATTTTAAAACTCAGTTTATTTAAAAATTTGAAGCTA